AGATACTAGGGGTGCCTGGGTGGCTCAGTCGGCTGAGCGTCCGACTTCGGCTCAGGTCATGATCTCACAGGTCATGAGTTCGAGTCCTGCGTTGGGCTCTGTGCTGGCAGCTCAGAGCCTGGAGCCTGCTTCGGATTCTGTATCTCCCTCTCTCTGCTCTGCTCTCCCTTGCTCACACTGTCTCTCTTTCAAAAATAAATAAAGATTAAAAAAATTAAAAGAACTAAGAGATACTATTCAAAATCAGAATGATACAGGGAGAAAAACTAAGGGTAATAAAGAAGTACCTACAGAGATACAGAAGATATAGCACATAAAAAATTACAGATATTCAAGGATAAATACTAAAATGGAGGCACTAGCATGTTTTGGAATTGATGTCAAGGACAGTTTTACCTCTTTACTTCTGTCTCTTGGTACCTCTGAGCATAATAAATCATGAGTTTGGTGCAGTATAGCAACTGTTCTATCCTTGGTGGGAAATAATACAAGTACAGTATGTATCACTGATTGTAAGTGTGACCAGGAGAAAATAGGACCGCATTAGCACAAACCAGTCACTGTCTAGATAAATTTTCAGCTTAATCCATTGGGGTTAAAATCTTGTTTCTAAAAGAAACACAAAAGTTACATTTGTTGTACATCTGAGGATGTGCTTCTTTCTGTGCTCAGTACCTTAGGAGGTATGCTGGTATACTCCAGCTGAGGTGACAAAATGCTGCAGACTGGGTGGCTTAAACAGAAATTTATTTTCTCACACTTCTGGAGGCTGGAAATTAGAGATCAGGGTGACAGCAGAGTTGGTCTACGGAGCCCTCTCTCTCCTTGGCTTGCTGACAGCTGTCTTCTTGCTGTGTCCTCATACAGCCTCTCCTTTGTGTGCGTGCACTCCTGGTAGCCCTTCCTCCTCTTACAGGGACATCAGTCCTATGGATGAGGGCCAACCCTATGACCTCATTTAACTTTAATTACTCCCTTGAAGGCCTGTTCTCCAAATGCAGTACAGTCCTCATCTGACAGATGAAGACGTGGAGGCACAGAGATATTTGACCATGACTTGTTATCTCTGAAATGGAGCCTGGAGCCCGGGGTCTCCTAAATCCTAGCCTAGATAGTGCTCTACACTACAGTGAGAGAAAAGGTCTGCTTCTGATGTTTTCATAGCTTTCTAATTATCTTTCTGGCAGCAAGTTATGTGAACTTCACTCCCCATTTCAACATCTTCCTAGATAAATATGGGTGACTGGGATGTGGAAACTTGTTTTCCCAAAGTGGTCAATGCAATTCCAAATTGTCCCTGGTTAAATGGTGCTGGTGAGATACATGTATTAGTTATATCATCATGAGGAGACACAAAAGGAGCAGGTATTTGATCCAGAAGCGGCAGGATTTTAGATGGACTCCTCCTAACCTGCCACGGCCCACAAGGATGGTGCTGCTGTAAACTTGTATCTTGGAATTTGGCCAAAGGCCACTTGTCACTAATCAAAAGCCAGAGACCTTGATTGTAGGCAGGAGAAACCACACAAAGCAATCCTTATGGACAAAGAGAGAAGACTTGGTCTCTCCTGTCCCTTACTCAATTTGGATTCTATCACAAGGCCACCCTGCTGCCAGACTTTACCACCAACCCCTAAAACTCACCCTATACTGAAGTGGGCGAACTCACTGTTTAAGCTGTTCTCAGTGTAACTCACTGAAATTTTGCATGACTACCTGTTGATTACTTTGCAGTTTTCAAATCTATCAGACACTTGTTGCTTCTCTCTGCTTCCTTTTTACACAATAGCTTGAAACCTTGTTAGTC